GTCATCAGTCTGACTGTGAGCACCGGGCCCAGGTGCTCACAGTCATGATATAAGCTGCCACTTCACTCTACTCAGAGACATTCTACATGCGCCTTGTTTTGTTACTTTGCCTTTCTTCTCCATCCATCACATGCACAATACACTTTCATACAAACACTCACTTACACTATTGATATTACTGACATCCATACTTCATTCCTTTTGCAAGTTAATTCATATTTTTGTAACTAAATTAGTGTAATTAATTGTTATTTCGGTGTCTCCCTTTATTTTCCATGGCCTTTGAGCCAGTCATGACAGAACATAAACATACTGTACTAGTACCGTACTCGGGTATATGCCTGAATCTGCTTGAAGAGGTGGTCTAAGGCACGATTCATGTGTACTCAAGTACGGTCCCCGTGAGATGTGAACGTAACCATGCTGTAACAAGGAAGTGGACCGCTATATGATGGCTCCTGGGCCCGTTTCATCCTCTGAGCTGCACATTAGATGTGGATGTAGGAAGAGGATCGTTGTTGGTGTCTCAGAAATAACAAAAACATCCACAGTTAGCAGGATGGACTTAGCCTGCGAGTAGTTGCCATGGTTGCTTCTTCTTCTCTCTGCTGTATCTGACTGTGTACATACACAGGTGTACTCAGGTAAAGAACGATGTTACATCTTAAGATAGATTTGTTCTTGAATTGTTGTTGATAGGTTTGTCTAATGATAAAACTTTTTGAACACTTGTTTTAAAATGATAAAAAATTTCTTTATTGTATTTTCTCTAGTATCATATCAAAGTTTAAAGTTCTATGAGGGAGGAGAGGGGCGAGAGACACTGAGAAGTGACAGAGAGAGAGAGAGAGAGAGAGAGAGAGAGAGAGAGAGAGAGAGAGAGAGAGAGAGAGAGAGACTGACTGACCTCGAGTCTGAAATTGAAAGCAGTTGTGGGGCTGTGTGTTGTGTTTGTTTCTGCGAGTGTGTGTGTTAGAGCCGTTCCCACGACACCAAATGACCTCCACCTCTCTTTCTCTCTCTTTCTCTCTCTCTCTCTCTCTCTCTCTCGCTCTCTCTATAAATGGGCCGTCTGGTGGCTTTTTCGGGGACCGGTCAGACTTAAAAAGGACAGAAAGGGAGAGAAAGCGAGGGAGGGAAAAAATTACAAAAAAAGGCAAGAAGAGAAAAATATTTCAAGAGAAAGAGAAGAGGTGGAAAGGCCCCGTTTGAAGGAGATTAAAGGAAAAGTTCAACATTTTTTTGAAATGCAATAATTAAGTTTTTGTTTGGAGAGTGAAACATTCAGACGGATTTCGATCATCACAGCTACTGAGTCAGGATTGTGGTTAGCCTAGCTTAGCATAAAGAGACAGCTAGTCTCCAACTCCAAATCTCATTATTAAGAAGTTATAAATGTAAAAAGTATGTGCATCTACGACTATTATATTGCTGAATGCAATTACAAAATTGTTTGTTTCAAGACATAAGCTAAATCTCCATTAAATGAAAGCAATAGCAGTTGTCAACACAACGAAAACACAGCCTGGATAACAAAAACAAACAACAACTAACGCTGTGAGCAGAGCAGTGAAAATAAGGATACAACGTGACCAGAGGTGAAACTGACAACACACTGCAGTTAATACATGAATCTGTCACTTTACCTTTAGGGCATTTTAAAATTCTTCCGGTAATGTAATTTGTAATTTGTAATTTATTTCAGGGATAGCCCCTTGAGATGCATCATCTCATTTTCAAGAGGGTCCTTACAAAACATAAATATAATCATCATAATACAAAATCAAAATAAAAGGTAAATACAAAACATAATACCAAACATTTAAACACAGAGACACCCCCACCACAAACACACACACACTCACAATCACTCACACTTAATGCTCCCCCAAGCCTAGCCACCCACCAACCAGCCAGTATTAACAATCAGAAAAAATCTGAAGAGAGAGAAAAAAAAAAGAAAAAAAGAAAGAAAGGAAAACCTCTGCAATAACATACATGTAAAGGTAGAGGTAGAGCTGTGTACACCCATGCACACATATGCACCATATAAATGCATATACATGTACATATATATATGCTTACACACTATACAGTACATACACACATAGTGTACGTTGTACGCAACATTAAGGCATAAGGTATAGAACAGTACATACATGTATATATGAGGTACACGAGCGCAAGCAAGAGGAGAGCAAGTCCAGACAAACTAAGTTGAACAGAGAAAGAAAATCAAAAGCAAGAGCAGGATGTTTGACAATGAGTAAGTAGAGATGATTTAAAGATATGAAAAGAGGTGATAGATCTAAGTGAGCGAGGTAGGTTATTCCAGTCTGATGGAGCTTTAAATTTAAATGCACGGCGACCAATTTCTTTCCTGATTCTTGGTGTGAAGAAAAATAGATGATCAGTATGCCTTAGGCTATACTGTGAACTGAAAGGGATTAGAAATTGTTTCAAGTACGGAGGAAAATTAAAATAGATACATTTAAAAGTAAATAGCGACCAATGAAATTTCCTTCTGGACTTGGGAGCCAGCCAATTCAAGGACTCGTACATTAGGCAGTGATGGGTCCTATATGGACACCTCAGAACAAATCTACAGAAACTGTTATATAAGATAGTGAGAGGTCGAAGATTTGTCTCTGAGGTGTTCCCATAGATAACATCAGCATAATCAAGGATTGGCAGCACCAATAGTGTCACGATTCTTCTCCGGACTTGCAGTGAAGAACATTCAACAGAACCATAAAGTGATTTTAGACAACCATATATTTTCTTAGAAATTGAGTTGATATGAGGTTTGAAAGATAACTGGGAATCTAGCCAAAGGCCCAAATATTTCAATTCATCTACTTGTTCTATGAGATGTATCATTATGTGATTGTTTTACAAAATATCAACTGTTGCTGAATCTCTGCACTCTGATATTATTGTTATCCTGATATCATGTATTGTAGCCTATCCTGAGTAACCCAGTGATCCACACATGTATATATATTCTATAAGTTGGAGGTACACTATTCACAATATGAGTGATTATTATGTTTTTCAAGTTGTATTAATACATGTGTCCTCCTCTGCCCTACCCCTGAAGCTCAGATGAAGTCAGTGAAGAAGGGGTGGCGCTATCTTTGTCTCAGGACAGAAAAACTCCGCTGACTCATTTAGCAAACCTCACAGCCTTTTTTTTTTTTTTTTTGGTGTGTTCTCGTCCATATCTGGGAAGTGAGCTAATATCAGAGTCGCCAGGGTCTAATTTTAGAGTTGTGTGTTTTATTGCAACATCAAGGACATGCTCAGTGCACACTCACACTGTCCAGATGTTTCCTTCAGGATGGGTCCATGGAGACCCGAGGCCAGGTCGCAGTCCGCCAAATGGGTCGAAACTATGATGCCAAATAAACTTACCAAGAAGGTAACAAAAATGAGGAACCAGAAAAGTGAGGATACATTAGATGTAAGTCAAAGCAAACAACAAGTTGAGAAAATGTCAAAATTCAATGTAGTCATTAGAGATGTTATTTATGTTTATATCATTGTGGCAAATAACGACTGAACCCAGACTGGAAACGAGTAGGGTGTCAAAAAATGTGTTTGTTCTAAACAGGTTTGACTAAATGCTCTGAAAATAAACGAAAACACAGTGTGATTAAAGACACATTCGCAGTATGTCAGCGCACGCCTATGAGGTATTTTGGCCTCATTTTTGGACAAAGGGAGGTGGTTGAGATGCGTTGTCCATATGGATATAGTCTATTGTTACTTCTTGCATTGACTCATAAAGCAAGCTGGCAAACTTACAAGGCATATGAACCCAAGGAGTCTGGATGAATGAGGTAATGTTAAAAACTTAATCTCCATAAGCTTCAGTTGATGTTAGACATAACTCACTTTGTCTTTAAGATACAAAGAACTAGGACTAAATAACAGCTTAATTGTTAAATATAGGCAATCTGTGTTTAAAATCATTGTGTTTTTTATTGTTTAATCCATCTTTTATTCCCATGCAAATAATTTTCTCACATTGTATATGAATTCATTTCATTGTTAGTTTTGGAGATTTGTAATGGCTGGATATTTTGAGTTACACCTTACAAGAGGGAGGTGGCATATTCACAAATATTTCTAAATCCAAGATTATTAAAGCTATGTTTGTTAGAAGATCTCTAGTAACACTGATAATTGCTGCCATCTGCTGGTCCAAATGAAGAACTACATTCTAAACAAACTGTTTAGAATTCTTTATGTATTTTTGGCAGCAATGACTAAAATAAAGCAGCTAGGAGACAAGTGGGCTTTTAGCTGTGATTCGTTTGTATAAACATCATGTTGTAGTATATGTAAGTTATGACTGTTTATAAAACCACAACAAATTACTCCAATAAAAGTAAAACAAATTTTGATAACAAACATGGTAATGAGAGCAAACAGGAAATATCTAAACCCACTATATCTGCCTCCCGCCATAAAACTGAACCGGTAAAAGGAGGTAAAACAACGCTTATCAGATATCAGATGAATAAAAATAATTTCTGTTCTTATCAACATCATTTTTGATATTGGGACAAAGTATTCAGTGGACTTGTTGACAACGGGAGCCAAAATAGAGGCTATTTTTTAGCCTGTAATTTTTGGCCAATAATTCTCTGAACTTCCATTCGCCTTTTACTAAAGACTTCCGTAGAGAGGAACACTATTGAGTTCAACCTGATTTCGGTAGGTTTAGCCTTGTAGCTGAGCCTCTCTATTATGTGGAAAACAAAGAAATTACCCAATTCAACTTGGCCTGAGGTCTTGAGCCAAATTTTAAGGTGATTAGTGGCAATATGCAGCTGCTGTGATGACCAATTAGAAAAAGTCTACAACAAGATGAGAGGAATTCCATTGGATAAAGACTCTGGCAGGGATGCACATAGTATGCGACAAGTCAGGCTTACCGTGAGTGTAGTGGCCAGGACGACGTGTGTTATCCTGCCCTTTACGATGAGCCTGACATACTCGGGTTTCTCTTCATATCGTACAAGTCTTTCGCCTTTTACTAAAGACTTCCGTGGAGAGGAACACTATTGAGTTCAACTGATTTTTGGCAGGCTTAGCCTTGTAGCTGAGCCTCTCTATTATGTGGAAAACAAACAATCTACCCAATGCAACTTGGCCTGAGATCTTGAGCCAAATTGTAGAGTGATTAGTGGCTAGATTTGCAAATATGCAGCTGCTGTGATGACCAATTAGAAAAAGTGTACAAGAAGATAAGGGAATTTCTATTGCATAAAGACTGTGGCAGGGATGCACATGCACATAGTATGCGACAAGTCAGGCTTACCGTGAGTGTAGTGGCCAGGACGACGTGTGTTATCCTGCCCTTTACGATGAGCCTGACATACTCGGGTTTCTCTTCATATCGTACAAGTCTTTCGCCTTTTACTAAAGACTTCCGTGGAGAGGAACACTATTGAGTTCAACTGATTTTTGGCAGGCTTAGCCTTGTAGCTGAGCCTCTCTATTATGTGGAAAACAAACAATCTACCCAATGCAACTTGGCCTGAGATCTTGAGCCAAATTGTAGAGTGATTAGTGGCTAGATTTGCAAATATGCAGCTGCTGTGATGACCAATTAGAAAAAGTGTACAAGAAGATAAGGGAATTTCTATTGCATAAAGACTGTGGCAGGGATGCACATGCACATAGTATGCGACAAGTCAGGCTTACCGTGAGTGTAGTGGCCAGGACGACGTGTGTTATCCTGCCCTTTACGATGAGCCTGACATACTCGGGTTTCTCTTCATATCGTACAAGTCTTTCGCCTTTTACTAAAGACTTCCGTGGAGAGGAACACTATTGAGTTCAACTGATTTTTGGCAGGCTTAGCCTTGTAGCTGAGCCTCTCTATTATGTGGAAAACAAACAATCTACCCAATGCAACTTGGCCTGAGATCTTGAGCCAAATTGTAGAGTGATTAGTGGCTAGATTTGCAAATATGCAGCTGCTGTGATGACCAATTAGAAAAAGTGTACAAGAAGATAAGGGAATTTCTATTGCATAAAGACTGTGGCAGGGATGCACATGCACATAGTATGCGACAAGTCAGGCTTACCGTGAGTGTAGTGGCCAGGACGACGTGTGTTATCCTGCCCTTTACGATGAGCCTGACATACTCGGGTTTCTCTTCATATCGTACAAGTCTTTCGCCTTTTACTAAAGACTTCCGTGGAGAGGAACACTATTGAGTTCAACTGATTTTTGGCAGGCTTAGCCTTGTAGCTGAGCCTCTCTATTATGTGGAAAACAAACAATCTACCCAATGCAACTTGGCCTGAGATCTTGAGCCAAATTGTAGAGTGATTAGTGGCTAGATTTGCAAATATGCAGCTGCTGTGATGACCAATTAGAAAAAGTGTACAAGAAGATAAGGGAATTTCTATTGCATAAAGACTGTGGCAGGGATGCACATGCACATAGTATGCGACAAGTCAGGCTTACCGTGAGTGTAGTGGCCAGGACGACGTGTGTTATCCTGCCCTTTACGATGAGCCTGACATACTCGGGTTTCTCTTCATATCGTACAAGTCTTTCGCCTTTTACTAAAGACTTCCGTGGAGAGGAACACTATTGAGTTCAACTGATTTTTGGCAGGCTTAGCCTTGTAGCTGAGCCTCTCTATTATGTGGAAAACAAACAATCTACCCAATGCAACTTGGCCTGAGATCTTGAGCCAAATTGTAGAGTGATTAGTGGCTAGATTTGCAAATATGCAGCTGCTGTGATGACCAATTAGAAAAAGTGTACAAGAAGATAAGGGAATTTCTATTGCATAAAGACTGTGGCAGGGATGCACATGCACATAGTATGCGACAAGTCAGGCTTACCGTGAGTGTAGTGGCCAGGACGACGTGTGTTATCCTGCCCTTTACGATGAGCCTGACATACTCGGGTTTCTCTTCATATCGTACAAGTCTTTCGCCTTTTACTAAAGACTTCCGTGGAGAGGAACACTATTGAGTTCAACTTATTTTTGGCAGGCTTAGCCTTGTAGCTGAGCCTCTCTATTATGTGGAAAACAAACAATCTACCCAATGCAACTTGGCCTGAGATCTTGAGCCAAATTGTAGAGTGATTAGTGGCTAGATTTGCAAATATGCAGCTGCTGTGATGACCAATTAGAAAAAGTGTACAAGAAGATAAGGGAATTTCTATTGCATAAAGACTGTGGCAGGGATGCACATGCACATAGTATGCGACAAGTCAGGCTTACCGTGAGTGTAGTGGCCAGGACGACGTGTGTTATCCTGCCCTTTACGATGAGCCTGACATACTCGGGTTTCTCTTCATATCGTACAAGTCTTTCGCCTTTTACTAAAGACTTCCGTGGAGAGGAACACTATTGAGTTCAACTGATTTTTGGCAGGCTTAGCCTTGTAGCTGAGCCTCTCTATTATGTGGAAAACAAACAATCTACCCAATGCAACTTGGCCTGAGATCTTGAGCCAAATTGTAGAGTGATTAGTGGCTAGATTTGCAAATATGCAGCTGCTGTGATGACCAATTAGAAAAAGTGTACAAGAAGATAAGGGAATTTCTATTGCATAAAGACTGTGGCAGGGATGCACATGCACATAGTATGCGACAAGTCAGGCTTACCGTGAGTGTAGTGGCCAGGACGACGTGTGTTATCCTGCCCTTTACGATGAGCCTGACATACTCGGGTTTCTCTTCATATCGTACAAGTCTTTCGCCTTTTACTAAAGACTTCCGTGGAGAGGAACACTATTGAGTTCAACTTATTTTTGGCAGGCTTAGCCTTGTAGCTGAGCCTCTCTATTATGTGGAAAACAAACAATCTACCCAATGCAACTTGGCCTGAGATCTTGAGCCAAATTGTAGAGTGATTAGTGGCTAGATTTGCAAATATGCAGCTGCTGTGATGACCAATTAGAAAAAGTGTACAAGAAGATAAGGGAATTTCTATTGCATAAAGACTGTGGCAGGGATGCACATGCACATAGTATGCGACAAGTCAGGCTTACCGTGAGTGTAGTGGCCAGGACGACGTGTGTTATCCTGCCCTTTACGATGAGCCTGACATACTCGGGTTTCTCTTCATATCGTACAAGTCTTTCGCCTTTTACTAAAGACTTCCGTGGAGAGGAACACTATTGAGTTCAACTGATTTTTGGCAGGCTTAGCCTTGTAGCTGAGCCTCTCTATTATGTGGAAAACAAACAATCTACCCAATGCAACTTGGCCTGAGATCTTGAGCCAAATTGTAGAGTGATTAGTGGCTAGATTTGCAAATATGCAGCTGCTGTGATGACCAATTAGAAAAAGTGTACAAGAAGATAAGGGAATTTCTATTGCATAAAGACTGTGGCAGGGATGCACATGCACATAGTATGCGACAAGTCAGGCTTACCGTGAGTGTAGTGGCCAGGACGACGTGTGTTATCCTGCCCTTTACGATGAGCCTGACATACTCGGGTTTCTCTTCATATCGTACAAGTCTTTCGCCTTTTACTAAAGACTTCCGTGGAGAGGAACACTATTGAGTTCAACTGATTTTTGGCAGGCTTAGCCTTGTAGCTGAGCCTCTCTATTATGTGGAAAACAAACAATCTACCCAATGCAACTTGGCCTGAGATCTTGAGCCAAATTGTAGAGTGATTAGTGGCTAGATTTGCAAATATGCAGCTGCTGTGATGACCAATTAGAAAAAGTGTACAAGAAGATAAGGGAATTTCTATTGCATAAAGACTGTGGCAGGGATGCACATGCACATAGTATGCGACAAGTCAGGCTTACCGTGAGTGTAGTGGCCAGGACGACGTGTGTTATCCTGCCCTTTACGATGAGCCTGACATACTCGGGTTTCTCTTCATATCGTACAAGTCTTTCGCCTTTTACTAAAGACTTCCGTGGAGAGGAACACTATTGAGTTCAACTGATTTTTGGCAGGCTTAGCCTTGTAGCTGAGCCTCTCTATTATGTGGAAAACAAACAATCTACCCAATGCAACTTGGCCTGAGATCTTGAGCCAAATTGTAGAGTGATTAGTGGCTAGATTTGCAAATATGCAGCTGCTGTGATGACCAATTAGAAAAAGTGTACAAGAAGATAAGGGAATTTCTATTGCATAAAGACTGTGGCAGGGATGCACATGCACATAGTATGCGACAAGTCAGGCTTACCGTGAGTGTAGTGGCCAGGACGACGTGTGTTATCCTGCCCTTTACGATGAGCCTGACATACTCGGGTTTCTCTTCATATCGTACAAGTCTTTCGCCTTTTACTAAAGACTTCCGTGGAGAGGAACACTATTGAGTTCAACTGATTTTTGGCAGGCTTAGCCTTGTAGCTGAGCCTCTCTATTATGTGGAAAACAAACAATCTACCCAATGCAACTTGGCCTGAGATCTTGAGCCAAATTGTAGAGTGATTAGTGGCTAGATTTGCAAATATGCAGCTGCTGTGATGACCAATTAGAAAAAGTGTACAAGAAGATAAGGGAATTTCTATTGCATAAAGACTGTGGCAGGGATGCACATGCACATAGTATGCGACAAGTCAGGCTTACCGTGAGTGTAGTGGCCAGGACGACGTGTGTTATCCTGCCCTTTACGATGAGCCTGACATACTCGGGTTTCTCTTCATATCGTACAAGTCTTTCGCCTTTTACTAAAGACTTCCGTGGAGAGGAACACTATTGAGTTCAACTGATTTTTGGCAGGCTTAGCCTTGTAGCTGAGCCTCTCTATTATGTGGAAAACAAACAATCTACCCAATGCAACTTGGCCTGAGATCTTGAGCCAAATTGTAGAGTGATTAGTGGCTAGATTTGCAAATATGCAGCTGCTGTGATGACCAATTAGAAAAAGTGTACAAGAAGATAAGGGAATTTCTATTGCATAAAGACTGTGGCAGGGATGCACATGCACATAGTATGCGACAAGTCAGGCTTACCGTGAGTGTAGTGGCCAGGACGACGTGTGTTATCCTGCCCTTTACGATGAGCCTGACATACTCGGGTTTCTCTTCATATCGTACAAGTCTTTCGCCTTTTACTAAAGACTTCCGTGGAGAGGAACACTATTGAGTTCAACTGATTTTTGGCAGGCT